ATGAAGCAACCGAAAAGTTGGTTCCTAAGAAGTCTGCCGCAAGGTATGAAAAAGAGTACTAAGTGTTTTGCCAATTGAGGAACGAACATGGGGCGAAACAAGTAGAGGAAAAAGTCATGTTGGCATACTTTTTGGACGCAGTAAGTTTTTGAATTGAGATTTTGTTGCCTGGGTTTCGGTGTTAAAGCGTCATGGAGCATGGAAAATCTCATCGACGGCAGAAAAATACATCGAAGGCTCGGTAGAAGGAAAAGTTAAGATTGCCCGTATGATACAACTGATACAAGGCGGCGAAAATTTCATTGAAATTCTACACCAGAAGGAATCAAATATTACTAACTCGACATCCAGTAATAACCCAGGCGTAGTGTTGAGGGCAATACAAATTGTTTCATTACAATCAATGTTAATGTTTGAAATAAAGAATTACAGTCAAATTTATGTTGGGGTTTTCAATTAATTGTGTGAAGATGTCAAATTTGATGTATACAGTCCGGTAAGTGTTGCTTAGCGACACTTACCGGCTCTGATGCTGTAATAACTCACCTACCGGACTCAAAATGATAGTGTAATCGAACATCTACCGGACAGTATGAAATAAAAGTATGTTTTCATTAAATTGAACGCTAGGAGATAATGTTATGTCCAATATTGCTTTTAGTGTAATCCATAAATCCCAGATCGGTAAATCTAAATTGGTTGGTATAAAATCTCCTATAAGTACACCCAAATATCTTGATAGGAAAAGCATTTCTGCTGCTGAAAACTTTAATTTGCCTTTTAACATTTCGAGTGTAATTACGGGAGGTTTATTGGCCGTTTCGGCGCCAAATGTATTGAAACCTAATATTCTATTGTTTAATGTTGTTAAGGAAAATAGTTGATATTCTAAAATTAACTTATTTAGAATTATAGTCATGTCATACATGCAGACTCCTTCTAAAAGGTCATGCATTATGTCTACTGCAAAATTTTCTACTACGTGAAAGTTTTTTATGTCATTCCAAATACTATTTTCTTTTATACCAGTTTGCGATAAGTCATTAAGCTGTAAATCTGATTCATAATTTTGAATAGTTCTTTTAATTGTATCGTCACTACAACAAGCAGTATAAGAAACGTTTTTTGGTATTTTACAAAATCTACATCTATAGGTCGCTGAAAAGCTTTCCGTAAAACCTAACATTGTGTGCAACGCAAGATTATCACCCAATAACAATGCTAGTTGGAAATATACCTTTTCTTCTTTATTTCCATAATTAACAACTATGCCCTCGGATTCTAAACTGTTTAGTTCATCAACAATTGGCTTAAAAATATGTTTATAGCCTAACCTTTTGTCATTGGTATAAAATAAAGACACCAAAAATATACTTTTCAAGGAGTAAAAGTACTGAGGTAAACAAGGTATAGTGCAATATACTGCACCCAATTTATTTGTTCCAGCCCGAGAACCTAACGCATTCCCCAATTCGTAGTCATCATAGTATAAGAATATCGGAAGAGTAAATTTATCAGTTAATTTCGACTTCCAATGTTTGCCTTGGGTAAAGTTGCTGAACACCTTAGAATTTTGCAATTTCGTTAAATAATGTTTAGTATCTTGCAATACGCTTGGTAATTCCAAAATGTTTTTAAACATTTTTGCCATACTAAATACTTTGGATACGTTTTCATGGGGCAATAAAACGTTGTCGCCATTTTTCTCAAGTAAAACCAACGAGTGCCCAATAACATGATCTGATGGCTCAATAAATGCTGATGATCGACTAAAATATTTAAACCTTTTGTATTCGGTATTCATTTCCATATTATATTATATATATTATATTACAGGTATCATCTTGTATCTTTGAAAAGTAGTTTAACTCCAAAAATTCTAATATTGATATAAACAAAGATTCTGTTTTATGAACCACAAACTGTACAAATGATCTTGGAATTAAGGAGTTTGAGTACATTTCCAAAATATATTTTACAATTTCGTTTTTTAGATGTTCAATGATATCCTGAGCACTTGTATTTTCTTCTTCATTATTTTCTTCAGTATTGGTATTACGAAATGTGACTGGGTCAATATCATTGCTAGAAGAATCATCTATACTACTGTCGTACCTAGTGCAATTTTCCTTAGTGACTGTACTTGCATCTACTGTAATATTTATGGGTGTTACAATGTTTTGTGATGGAGGCGATAATTTTGAAACCCCGTGAGTTTTGAGGTGTTTGTACAAAGAGTTGATGCTGCTAAATTGTCTATGGCAATTACTTTGCTTACAAAAAAATGTTGAACATTTTTTCAATTCGTGTTCAATTTTGTAATGAAAAAATAATATTTTTGTGGATTTACAAGATTTTTGACATACAAAACAAATAAACATTTTTACTTCCTATAAGAACAAAAATTGTTAGTAGTACGTAACTTAGGTTCCTAAATAAGACGTTAAAGCCGATATGAACCAAAGCATTACGCATTACCTAAATCAGACATCAATGCATTCACTGAAATGTAATTCCTATCAAATTTTGTATGAATGTCGTATATATATTTTTGTAAGAAAGTCCACGCCGCATCACATTCTTTAGAGTATTCTGCATTTAGAACATGACATGCCTTAAATGTGATATCTACAGCTTTCAATAAGGTATCAACTTTCAACAATTCTGTGTTAATGCTCACATAACAACTTTCGATGGAATCTATTTGCTTACATACCACCACGGGGACAGGTTGCGTAGTTAGCTTAAATGATGCTAATTTACGCTGCCTTTCCTCAAGCACACTTTGAACATCGCTACTCTCTTTAACAAAAATTATAAATCCGTTCAGTGATTCGATTTTAGATGGTCGCCAATGCAAACCCACTTTTTTGGTTTTAATGTTCACCGTATTAAACAGCAGGGGCAGTACACGCAACGCGAAAATTTCGTCCAAATCTAGAAACAATTACTATAAAGATTGAATGTATTTGAAATATTCATACCATCAGATTGGATAGCTTTATAGTCATCCAGCAAAGATTTTATATAAGCGTCCTTTTTTTGTTTAGCAAATGTAATAATTTTTTTCGCAACCATTGGCCATTTTACATAAAAGACTGTTTCTTTATTGGGGTACGTGTTGTCGAAATCAATTTCAAACTGAAAAGAACTATTGGAAGAAATATCAATATATATAAGTAACTTACGAAATGATACGACAAAGGACTTCTCAATATTGGGTATTGCTTAAAATATTGGTCAATGGAGACCATTCGATTGGCTCTCTCTTTAGTTGTGAGTTTCCAATAATCTAGTACCTGATTCTTAGGTTCAGTATTATTTTTAAGCCATAGTAGAATATCTTCGGTTTGTTCATCGGTATTTTCGGGAGCAGCTTCTGTTGAACAAATTGAAGTTAAATTACTAATTATTAAAGTTAAATTGCTAATTATTAACGTTTTATTATTTTAAATAACTACATAGGTAGTTACAAAATTTTATTAGGTAGAACCGTTGTATGCAAGTACTACTAATTACGTTTAAAAATTTTTGTGATTACCTGCCTGTCAAAATTAAAAAAAAATGTATACATATTTCATGAAATGCTGTTTTGTTTATTCTGCATTTTTTGAGAATAAAATTACTCATCAAACAAAATCAGTTACTTCATAACTGGTATAATAAACAACTTTTAAATAACATAAATCAACGTATCCAATGATTTTGGATTAGTTACATACCTGAAGTAGTTAAATTTTCTTTTTTTGCCAGCAAACCAAATTTTTTTAATAGTTGGCGTTGGTATAAATACACATTAAATAGTTTCCCTCTTGCTGCTTTTGGTTTTCCTGCATTATTTACATAGGGCACATAGTATACTTCTGGCCTTTCATGTAAGAAAAGTTGATTAATTTGATCAGCAAGGTAATGAAACCTTTCAGACGAAATCCTGCAAGAATTATGCACGTATTAATGAATAATTTGTAACAGATATATTTTAAAGCAAGAACACAATTAGTCAAGTTAAGTACCTAACCATACAAGGAACGAGGCACGTAAAGTTTGATAATCTTAGGTGCTCTTTGTATGGGTACTTGTGTCCTTAATGTTTTCATCAAGGTAAATATAACTAGTAGGTATCTATTGTAGAAATGAAATAAAAAATGGGCACCTTTTGGTAGTTGATCGCTTTAACTCCCGCCTGATTACAAGCTCACAGAGTTTATTTCGCATAAACTGTTTTCCCTCACCATAGCTTGCTATCACCAACTTCCCCTCCTCACAGTCTAAAGCTTCTAGAATGTCCTGTAAATAATTAAATAATAAAATCCATAAGTTAGGCAATATAATGAACTTACGGATGTTATTACGTTGGGATTACATTCAAATGGTGTGCCAAGTGCGGCACGTTGAGTATAAATGAATGTACTTTCTTTCAGCTCATCTTTAAATTAAAATCTTATAATTGGTAAATTGGTCTATAAATTATATAACTATACCTAAAGGCAGAAGTGAGGAAGATGTTGACCCAGACGGAGCTGGAGATGCAGTTAAAGTAGAACTTATATCTGTGGAGATATCGTCACCTCCACCACCAGGGGACTCCAATGAATCTACGTATATTAGCTCATTCTCTTTTGATGCCTGTAGCAAATAAGAAATTTAAAAATACAATACAAGCAAGTGAAATACTTATTCGAACCTCATTAATTAAAAAAGTTTGGTATTTGTTCCAAAATTTAATTCTTATTCCAAATGTCGGAATGAGCTCTTTGAGATTCTCCAAATTTAGGCAAAGAAAAACGTCGCGATCAACTTGTTGTTCTGGAAATATAAAGCAGATAAATACATGCCGCACAGTAGGTACAACGCAATCTATTTAATCTTTTCTTATAATTTGATTTTTTTCAATTTAATTGTTTTGCTTTATTAGGATTGCGTAATGTAATGAAATATTATAAAAAATAAGTCAAACATTAAAATACATTACCATCGTTTAGCGTTTATGAGTATGGCGGAAGCGGAGGTGTAGGAAAAATGCACAAAAGAAAAATTGAAATACCTAAAGCAAAATACTTACCGTGAAATGACTCCACAAGATCTGTAAATCCCCATTCTAATAATTTGGTTTTCACAAACTCGTCCATCTTACCTAGGTACAAGCGTTTTTTTTTTGGATTAAGTATGCTCTTACAGTTAAACACAACACTGACGCAGTAACGACCATGTAAAAGGACGTGGAATTGCTTGGTTTAGCGCTTTCTAAGTACAACACAGTAGTAACTGATTATACAATTTGCAGCTTCGTATGTCGAGCTTGCAGTAAAAAGTGCTGCAAGTTTTGTGAAGGCTTTTTATTTATAAGCAAAACTATTTGCATAAATTGCGTTAATATATTAAATAAAGAGAGTATTGTTATTAGATATATTGCAGAGGAATTCACCGAAGTAAGAACACTAAAATAATGGGCGAACTTTTCTTGCAAAAACCTTAATTTTTTTTAAAGACGAATGTTTGCAAGATAATATGAAATATTACTGTTTGAAAATGTATTTCTTCTTACAAATTTTTGAAATTTCATACGCAATATCACTCGGGCAATTTTGCAAAAAAAATTTATAGTCATGTTTTTTCAGTGTACAGAGTTTATTAAAAGAGATAGGCAAAAATTGTTTATACAAAAGTTGCGTGTTTTTTTCTGTAATATATTTTCAACATATCGACAAAAAACAAATGAGCATCGTAATGTTAAAAAAAAGAACAAATTCCCTTAAATGGAACACTATATTTTTACTCAGGGTGAAATCCCTTTTCATCCTGATTCCAAAAATGTATAGTTTGCCGGTATTTCATTCGGCCTTTTTTTTTAAATATTTGAAGTTTATTATTCAAAAAATGCAGCAAGAGTTTTTGAAACACTGTCATGCATTGGAATGGGAAAAATTTGTTATATACTGAGATAATATATTGTTAAAAATTGTTATAGAATGTAAAAATTAATAATTCGAAAATTTATAAAAATAATAGTAATAATCCATAACAATGCTGATTATTAAGTTCTATTTTTGAATAATAAACTTAAATTATTTAAAAAACGGCTGAATAAAATACTGGCAAACATATTTTTGGAATCAGGATGAAACGGGTTTTCAGCCTGAGTAAAAATATACAAGGTGTTCCATTAAGTAAACAAAATAAAGTTAATTAAGCTTGGCGATGGTCATTTGTTGTTATTGATGTGTTCAAAAGAAAATATAGAAAAAAACACACAACTTTTGTACAAAATATTTTGCCTATCTGTTTTAATAAACTCCGTAGGTGGATGTCAAAATATATATGAAAAATAAACAAAAATAGGTAGGTACCATGTAAAAAGGGAAACTAAAGGTAGAATTCGTCTTGACAAGTACAGACGAGCGGACGGACAAATGTAATTTTCACATTTCTGAAATGGAAAATTACATTATAAGGCGAGCCTATGCGCACTAATGATTACTGAAATATAACATATTAAAATATGGACTTGCTGAAATTCCGTTATATGTTACACTTTTTTCATCAACTTAGTATGTGATATTCCATAAACTATACGTAACATACTAGGAAGATACTGTAATAAAACACAACTAATAGGAACAGGAAACCTAAAAAAAGTATGGATTGCCTTGTAACATGCTCTGGAAAATTAAATAGTAAATTTCCCATATTATGGTAAAATACAGTATATCTAAAGTCTTGCTTTTTTGCAGTTGAAGAATGGAGAATCACTTTATGAAATGGGTTAATTTACAAGTTCCTCGTGTTATGCAAGAATAAAAATTGGAACTTACCTAAATCTATCATGAATTCATCTGTGAATATTAATGGTAAATTACGGTAGATGTTACAGTAAAATTTATTTACAAATCGTTAGGTATTTTCACAGAACTTTACGTTGGTTATAAATAGCCAACGTAAAGTTGTGGAATATTACATAAACTTTTTTTACCGTGCAATACAAAAAGAAAGGAAGATTGGATAAAATGCGTTGCATGCTCTCGCTGGCTCCATGAATATTGCACCAGCTTTCCTACCATGTGTATGTTCATGTGTATGTTCTGCGGAAAGAAATCTGTAAAGATATAAATCGCTAAACTGTCACACATTTACCTTTTCTGGAATTCATATTTTATTTTACGAATACTTCATTAAGTTTTTTTGTTATTTTAGACTTAAATAAGATGTATATATGTATTTTATCTTTTGTTACTTTTTTTCATGGAAGGTGTAATAAATTTGACATAAAAAAGGGTTGGCTATCTCTACCGCATTGACAAAATATGTAATGGTCATCTCACCCTTACACCAAGGGAGAGATGGCCAGTTTACATATATTTATTGGAGCTGCTCAATGTCAAACAGTTTGAACTAGTTTCAATTAAATCGCACTAACTTCATAAAACAATAATTCAACAACATTTTGGTATCAATTTCAGTACTTAACTGTTTCGCGTTAACTTATAAACAAACAAAAAGCATAAACCTGGCCATCTAACCCCGACTTACCCTAAGTATTTCAAGTGTTATTGTTATTGGCGTGTCGTCCATGTTGGTATGACCATAGGCTCCGCCCAGAGATGGGCGTCGACGCGTCGACTTTAATAGCGAAATCCATTGGACGGAAAAAATCTGCGCTAGGTCGACACTCGAATTGCGCGAGTTGTATCAGCTGATCTCAATAGTGCGTTGTCAATGGAGTTGGCACGTTGCATGTTGAATTCATGGTTATGTTTATTAAAAAAGTTAAAAATGGATTTATTGCAAGTCAAATTTCAAATTAATGACGAAATTATAACGTTCAATATACCAGATAACGACTCTGATATATTATTCATAATTACAAGTAAGTTAAATCAATGTGAACGTATGTAAATAAATCGGTAATTGATTTCAGATGATGATGATTTTACAGTAAATTATCTTATACAACTAATAAGTAATAGATTTATTTCCTTAAAGGAAGCGTTAAGTACTATTTACAGGGTTAATGAAGATGATTCGTAAGTGCCTGTAATTGTGTTAGTGTAATTTTTTTAATGTAGGTACCTACACTGAGGAAAAAAGATGGTCAAGTTAACAATAATCATGTTAAAACTACCATGAATTATGGTAAAAAAGGGGACAGCATAACATGTGTGTTACAATTACAATATAGCTCGGGTAAAGGAATTATAGTAGATTTAACAATTAAAAGTTTAGTTAACACGAAGTTGTCTGATAAAATTTACCATACATATAGCACACGATTGTATTTAAGTCTTGTAAATACTACAATAGCGCATGTAGTATTAACTTGACACCATCTTGTTGACATTACGAAATATCAAGCAGAATTAACCCACTCCGATTATCACATATACTATATATTGGCGGGTTGTTTGGTTGATTTTGCATCACTGAAAAGTAAAATTAACTTTCCATCTGTATGGTCAGTGATCCGCTTTTAGTGAATTTTACCGCAGGTACTGTGAAATCAACATGATATTTTAATGAGTTGAACTCGACGTGTCATGCAAAATTTACCATACATTTTGATTGTTTAACCAAGGATCTAGTAGAATTACCCTTTAGGAATCATGTCAAGTTTACTACGAGTTGACAGCCATATATAGTTGAGCCTGCATTGTTTATAAAGTAAAATTGCCTTTCCATATTATGCTCTTTCAAGCTTCGGATTTTTGTAGCCTTTGCAGTCCACACAGAGAAAAAGGTAGAGTAGTATTAACCGCATTAGAGTTGTATGTATCTCAACGTAATGTTGTATTTTGCCAATCTCATAGTGGTTTATAAATAATGGTTCTTAAGGTACTGTGAATATTCTGCCCACCAGAATTTCATTTTCTTGTGAAAAAAATAAGATGTAATAATAGTTACCCAATAAAAATTTATAGTTAACACACCAGTATTTCTATGTATTTTATTACCTGTTGTAATTATTTTGTATAGGTTAACAGTAAAATCTCTAGTGTTTTCAAAAAAATTGTGGTAGCGTACTGTGTAATTAAAATTTTGTTCTCTAGAATAAAGCATAGCTTTTTTTGAAACACAAGTTATTTATTGACAAATACATATTTGATAATTGTTACATACACTAGAATGATAATAATTAATTTGATATTAGCTGTTAATAAGCTGTTAATTTATTATTAATTTATTGCTGTGTAGCATAACCCACACCCATTAAATATAATAAATTAATTGCCTTAGAGGTATCCATTAAAGGTGTAATAATTAATTCACTTTTTGAGAGTATGCTTATTTATTTAAGAAAAAATAACAAAAAAAATTAACATAATAAACAAAATCATTCTTTTATATCTAGTAATAAAAATATCAGTCATATGAGGAACAAAACTATATACATACCTATGTTTATAAAAATAATTACAAAAATATTTAACTTTTGTTGAATAACAAAATCTCGCTACAATTTTTATGTAGTACTAAAGGAATGATATTTTTTAAAGTCTGTAAAGAAATTAATTTTAAGTTTCCTGAAATATTCACATTTGCAATAATGTAAGCTTGAAAATGTGTGGAAAATCCATGCACATCTAATTTATTACAAAGAAGAGAAATATTTTTAAAGCGATTGCAAATAATGTACTTAATGAGGTAAAAATCAGGGTCTATATCGTTTGATGGTAATGGAATTGACGTATTTATCTTAAATCGTACCCCATTAAAATCCACATATTCAAGAGCAGCTGTTATTTCTTTTATGTCATAATAATTAAGTTTCTTTAGGGATTTCATACTTTCATTGCTTGGAGGCCCGAGCACAAGTTCATCCTGAAACCCTTTATTTGATATAAATTTGTAACACAGTTTTAGCTGATGTCGCAAGCTGATTGTTTTTATAATATTTTTTCTTGAAGCAACAATATGTGCATTATTCTTTCCAATTCTATGAAATCCTTCGAATCTAATAGAAGAAAAGTTACGTAGTGGACCTACTCGTCTTATACAGTTAGGGTAGTGAATAACAAAATGATGTTTTGGTTTTAGCTTCTCTCTTGATATTTCTACATATAATTCATGATGCTCAATTATTATGTGTGTTAAATAAGTAATTTCATTTTTACTAACTACTCTCTTTGTAACGATACGAATAATATCGTATAAAAGTGCAAATAGAAGCCAGCCCTGATCATCGACATCTACAAAATCTCCTATTAAACATGGTAAGTAAGTCACAAAAGATGACATTTCACTAGCGCTTAAAATAAGTAATTTTCGATCCAAATGACTTTTTTTTATAAAGGGAATACGGTTTCCACAATCAACCTTATTTTCATACTCAAAATATTTTATTCTTTCATTTAACTGATCTAACGTAAAGTATGACTTTGATTTTATAAAGTAGTATAATAAAAAACCTAGTTCATATCTGCAGATGCCTTCAAAAAGGTCATGCATAATATCAAAAGTAATATTAGTGGTACAATGATAACTACTCAGCGTATTCCACCTACAAGGATCTTTTACTCCATTTGACTTTTCTTGGCTATGTAGTAAATAATTCTCAGGGTTTCTTATTTTGTAGTTTCCTTCACATTTCATAACTTCACTCTCTTCTTTTGTACAATAGCATTTACGACAAAAGTTCCCAGCAGAAAAGCTTTCTATTAATCCGGTAACAGAATTAATACCTAAATTGTCGCCGAGTATTAACGTTAAAGCAAAATATACTTGAATACTTTTGTTGTTGATCTCAATATAAATTCCATCATTTTCTAAAAACGCTAATTCGTCAATAAATGGTTTAAATACATCTTTGTTACCATAAGTTGTTCTATCGTTAGAATGAAATAAACCAAAAAGGAATATATTCTCTAATTGTGAGGCAAATATAGGAGGTATTCCCAAAATTGAAACATATACTGCTCCGATTTTGTATACACCTGCATGAGTGCCCAAAGGATTACAGGACTCATAATCATCAAAAAAGAGTAATAGTGGATAAATGAGTTTAGAAATGTACTTGTCTTTAATACTAAGCCACATATCTCCGTTAAAAAATGAACTGTAGTAATTTTCGCTTACACACATTTCTTCTTCAGCAATATAATTGTTGATAGCATCAAACACATTTGGTAGTTGCAGAAAAAATCTTAACACACGTCGCAGAGGAACTATTTCACCTTCGCAACGTTTGTACTGTAGATCTGAACCTGTGCTACTTTTATCTAACCGATAACCTATTAAAAAGGGGATTGATTTAACTAAGCAATTACTATTTTCAAAATACTGAAACCTTTTATATTCTGTAGTTAAGTTTTCAAATGGATTTTGTTTTATGTAATCAACAATTTTATTAAGTTCTAAACTATTGTTGCAGGGTGATAAAATATTTGTTACCCTATCAACAATGTTATCAGTGAAATCCGAAAAGAGACCATTACAGTTTTCTACTATTTGCTGAATAATTTTCCTTGTTATATTTTTGTTATACAACTCTGATACAAAACGATGTACTAATTCGTGTGCTGCTGTAGAAGTTTGTGAGAAACTTGGGGCGCAACTTGCGATAGAATCGTCAACAAATGCAACATTTTCCGTCATAGAGATCACGTCATTATTACATACACTATTTGCGACATTACAATCGGGCTTTTCGACTATGTGTGGAAACTTTGCATGAATCCTTTTAAAGTGCTTTTCAAGAACATAAATATTAGTGTAAATACGAAAACATATCGCACATTCAAAATTTTCACTATATTTGTGATAAAACTTTATGTGATTTATTAAATCGTCAAATTTAATTTTTTTTTTGCAGATTACACACTTTAAGTTTTCCATTCCTTTGCACCTAACACACAGGCTTATTTAAAAGTTTTTAACTGGTTAACAATACTAATAATAGCCGGAATTTTATGATCGTACTTAGTTTCAATATTGTAAATAGCCCTTTGTATAAAGTACCACAAATGTTCACTTTCAGCTGTATATTTCAAATTTAAAACCATTGTAAACTTAAAGCATGTATCGATTCCTTTCTTTATCGATGGAACTAAATACAAATTTCCATTTATGATACATACAATTTGTTTGACATCCAACCCTTCAATTTCAACAATCATATACGGCTGAACCGGTAAACCACTTTTTTCATGTTCTTGCTTTCTCTGTCTTATTGCGGCGTCGATGTCACCAATATTCTATAAGTAATTACTTACTGTTAAATACCTAAACAAAAAACTTTACACTCTTACCTCTACTTTTATAATTATTCCATTGATAGCGTCGTCACAATTAGGTTTCCATTGTTTCTTCTTTTTAACTAATCTCGTTGTACATGGAATTAGAGCCGATAACAATAGAAGAGCAGTGTATGATTTGTAATCATCCGTAGTAGTAGTGGATTTAAAAATTTCAACCCAAGGTTTGTCACGAATTGACAAATGTGTCTGTCGTAGCTCGATTACTTTAGCGACTACTTGTTCGAAATTTAATAATAGATTGTTATAGTTTTCAGGATAAATTCGTTTAAAATCGTCTTCGATCTATATAATATGAAATTATATTTGCGTATATAGAAGTTGTTTATTTACAAACCAATGTATATCCCAAAGGATTTCTTAGAATTGGCCAATCTTCGTAAATTTGTGCAACGTCTTTTTCATCTGTTAAAGATTTGTTTCGTAATGAAAATGTTCTTCTCCAACAGGATTGGACATCATTCCACGGCTCAATATTATTTTTTAACCATACATAATCATCGTTGTGATTAAAATCTGTAATCAAAAAGTCATTATATTTTATACAAATATTTACAGTTTTTCATTTACCCTCTGAAATGACTTCTTTTTCCGGTGAACAGCTAGAATGTCGCATTAAAGGAATAACTCCCGCTTTTCTTAAATAGGTAAGCTTGTTCTTGTACTTATCCACTAATTTGCCTCTAGCAGCTTCAGATTTGTGGTCCCTTGAAAATTTTTTATATATACACAGAGAGAAATTTTGTGTTTGGTGTATCAATTGAAAATATGTTAACAATTTAAAGCTGGCAGAAACTCAATTTAGTTTATTCTAACAATACCATGGTGTTTATGTAGCAATATAATGTAAATACTGTATGCACGGATAATATGGTGACGATGGTTGTAAACTAACCAACAAAGACAATTTTACTCATCAATACCTTTTGGTTGTAGATGTGTAAAGTTTAGGTATAAAACTTATTGTTAACATAGTATGGTCGAACTTGTACACCTTCAAAAAAATTTTGCTAGGCATACAACATGCGCGTCTATAGCAGCAAAAAAATGATCAAAACAACAATATATTGTTGGTAGTGCTACTAAACTCCGTAATTAAAATACGTACTTCAGTTGTTGGAGTTACAATTTATATGTGTAAAGCCGCAAATGAATTTGATACAACGCCTACATAGTATAAGAAATGCAAAATCTGCAATGATTAAAATAACCGCGCACAATAATGTATTCGGTCACATATTTTAATTTTCACATTTTTGTGCATCGTGCATGCCGTAAAGATGGATTTTGTGGTGGATAAGTTGAAAGAATGGGGCCGGAGGACTTGATTGAAATTTTTTCTCGTAAGTACCCGATACATTTACCTATATTTTTGAGAGTTATGCCTTCTATCTATATCTAAAACGCGAAATTGCACATTTCAATTTTTAAGAAAAATGTTATACCTCCATTGCTTTTTATCACGCGTTCAACGTTCCTATTGCCATTGTGGTTTGCAAAATTTTTGTTTACAACGGTTTGCAGTGTGCAATTTCTACTCATTGTATGAACTTCCTTGTTTGATATACTTACTTAGTTTAACGACCTACCGTTTTTTTTTTAGAAAACCAAATCGACAACGAAGTTTTTTTAAATTTAACGGAGTCGATGATTAAGGAATTAATTCCACAAGTGGGATTACGGTATAAATTTTCGAAAAATTATAATAACATATTCGGCAATTCTCTAATAATTGTAAGTCAAACCCTAGGCCAAGCTCTTAATTTTCATTACAACTGTGATTCTGAAATAATAACCACGACAACATTTTTCGCTGTGCATAATTGTTTTTCTACGTCTAATATAAACTTTTAATTCAAGTTGCGATTGTTTTACGTCGAATAAGTGGGTACTTTGCTTCAATTCGTCGCCCTTAATACATTTGGAATTTGGAAATGTACAAATTATTTCATTTGATACAAGAAAGCAAAATTATAAATAGGTGTTTTTATCAAAAAAATAAAGAAAAATGTAGTACTTTCGGGAACTCATTTCTTCGACCTGTTAAAATTTAGTTAATGTACCTGAAATCCGAAAACGTAATATGATCAACTGTGGTTATTGTTTCCTGAACAGTGTGTTTGTGGTGGTCAAAACCCTGCTATTTTATTGTTTGTAGGGTACTGATGAGGAACCATTGTCTTCCTCATCAAGTACATGTACAATTACATCAGCTGATGTAAATGATCAAATAACGACTTTGTTTCTTCCGGTACCATCCAGCTCAATTGATGATGCATTAGGTAAGTGTACATATCATTTTGTTAAAGTTAACTTCTATAGTATATTTACCTAGATACATCAAATCCACAATTTGGACATATTAATCCGCAAGGTGATGCGGACGTAAACACAGATTTGCGCCAACTACTGGAAAAAGAGCGCGTACGGGGAAAGGAAATTTTACAAAGTTACAAACTCTTCAAAACATTTAATAGGTCTACACTAGCAGATATTATCATAGAAAATCAGTTAAAAGATGACCCCAATGCAAGGTATATCTATGTAATTATTTAAAGCGAGTAGCTAATGATGTGTTGATTTTTAGAATTAATTCCGCTACGTTTACGGAGATATCCCAAAAAATAGCCCAAACATTTCCTGGAGAGTTAGCAGGATCATATTATATTCCATACTGTAAATCTTCCGATGGAAGGGTATCGACAGCTAAGGGGATTTTATGGGATAAATATGTAAATAAAAGGCGCAATTTTCGACGACTACAAATAATCACAAAGAAATCCAATACATCTACCATCACTTGTAAGTGTTATTTGTATAGACTATATAATAAGATTTCTTTATTCTGTAGCACCTGTTCAACAAAGTGAAAATGACAATATTTCAAGTGAGGAACTTCAGGAGTTGGACACATGGCTGCGCAACAATGTAATGCCGTGGAATCTTGTCATAGAAAATTGGCAAAAAACGCTCCGAATTAGACAAAAATTTGAAACAATAGACACTTATTTCCGAGACTATCCTTCTTTAAGGCAACCTTCTGGGTATTTGTTGGTAGGAATTAATTTACTGAAAATAGGTACCTACGTGAACTTTTTTTTTTAGTTGGAACTTGACTTTGACGCATTATAAAGGAAACCACTTACTAAATAAGTGGCTAAATTTTTCCGAGCGGATACCTAAACTAGTAGAAACAAAAAAAGACAACACAACAGGCAAAAATTTTCTGAAGAACTATAATTACCAATCATATAATGAAAGTAAGTTTGTATTTATGTTAATTTAATAGTGTAACTAAAGTTACTTGTTTGTTTTAGGACAAAAAGAAGTATTGGGATTTGCATTATTACCGCTAATTATACCACCCTGTCCCATTAAATAAAAAAAAAGTGGTACGCGATACAAACCTTCGAAAGTAGAAACACAAGAAGCATTTTGTTGTATTATAGAGGTAGTTAAAATTATTTGTTAAGTTAAATTAAATATATATTTTTAGGATATTAGCAAATTAGAAGAAAAGTTGGAGAGTCGAAGGAATAAACTCTTAACTTTTGGTGAAACATTACAACCATCCGTAGTTTTAGTTGGAACTGTAGACGGAATTACATCTTCTTACGTAATCATCAATGACACTCAATATAAATTGGAAACACCAATGAAAGCTGTAGATGTCTGTTTCAAGGTATATCATGCAACTAATGCCAAGTATCCAATAGAAGCGGAACATATTTGGACGTTTATACAGCAATATATTTATGAAATTTATACGCCATCGGATAGATCGTTTGTAAGTTTGAATGCATTCACTTCAGATATAAATAGCATAGTAACCTAAGAAAATGAAATGTTTTAAGTGCAAATGTGAACTAAGCTCAAACACTTTACTTCTTTCACATTTAAAACATGTGCATTATTTAAAACACCAAGATATTCATAAGTGTATTGACTGCAATCGAACATACAGTAACTTAAATGCATTCAAAAAGCATTTAAATAAAAATCACGTTTTGATATCTAATTCTACTTTAAGGGAGGCTACTCCTTTAGACAGTGCAATAAGTTTGGATGTTCCATTGAATCAATCAATTAATTTGCTAGATAACGTTAACCATGAGTCAGTACATTCACCACATGATTTTGTAACCCCCCTTTATCCAAAAAATAACATAGACATTAATGCAGAATGCCTTAAATTAGTTAGTAGTTTATACTGCCATTCTTACGTTAATCGTAATTCTGTTCAAATATTTGTTGAAAGTATTAAACGATTCATTGACGATTTTTATGTGCCAGTTTTAATTGAAAAAATCAACAGCTATGTAACTTCCAATGTAGACCAAGATAAGAATTTCATTATTGATGGTTTAATACATATGATATCTTACTTTAAAAATCCATTTGATGGCCTTGGAACTGAATACAAAAGATTCAAGACTTTTGAAAACACGAGATTTTTTATAAAACCTGTCAATTATATAATTGGCCAAAGAAGTCATTTCAAAGTTCTTGACGGTGTTGGGTGTTTAATTCCAGAACCAGTTCATGCTAAATTTATTCCTTTACGGCAAATATTCAGTGCACTTTTTCAGTTACCCAATTTTTTGTTAGACGTGAGGGCATATATCCAAACTTTGGACAAGGATTCATTTGTTTTAACCAGCTTTGTTCAAAGCAATATTTGGCAACAAAAACTGCTTCAGCATAATAACAAAACTGTACTTCCACTATTTATTTATTTTGATGATTACGAAGCGGGGAATCCTCTGGGATCTCATAGTGGTAAGAACAAGTTAGGAGCAGTGTATGTTTCGATTCCCTGCATACCGCCTCAATTTCAAGCACGTTTAAAAAACATTTTTTTTAACATTACTCTTCTACAGCAATGATAGAAAAGAATTTGGGAATTCTGCAATATTTCAAATTTTAATCGATGAACTCATATTTTTGCAGTCTGTTGGAATCCTTATAGATATCAACGGCCAAGGTGAAAGAATTTACTTTGCATTAGGACTTGTTTTGGGAGATAACTTAGGTTTGCATTCACTGTTAGGAATGGTGGAGAGTTTCTCCGCTACGTATCATTGCAGGTTTTGTTTAGCGACAAAAAATCATTGTAAGAATCTATGTAAAGAAGACGTAAATTTGTTAAGAACTAAATCTTGGTATGATGAACATATAAAGCCTGACACACTTGATTTAGGAATCAAAGAAATATGCATTTTTAATCAAATTAACGGTTTTCATTTTTCAGAAAATTATGCAGTTGATATCATGCATGACGTGTTAGAAGGTGTCTGTAATTACGTAATGACTGCAATATTACAAAAATTCATACTAGATTTAAAACTATTTAGCCTAGAAATATTAAATTACAGAATAAAAACTTTTAATTTCGGTATTCATGATATTAATAGACCCCCACGTATAAACAGGGAATCGTTAAACACTAAACTGAGAATGTCTGCCTCAGAAATGTTAAGCTTTTGTCGATATTTTGGACTAATAATTGGCGATATGATTCCACGCAATAACCACATTTGGCAAACGTACTTGTTGTTAAAAAAATTACTAGACATTATTCTTTCACCAATACTTCACCGCAATACCTATATTGTGTTGAATGATTTAATATTAGATTTTCTTACGAATTGTATTGATGTACTCCATTTAACATTGAAACCAAAATTCCATCATTTAATACATTATGGAAGAGTATTTCGTATGTCTGGTCCTTTGATGTTACATTGGTCAATGAGATTCGAGGCCAAACATAGGGAGTCGAAGGTAACTGCTAACATTTCTTGTTCAAAAAAAAATCTACTCGAAACTATTTGCACAAAACATCAGTTAAAATTATGCCACTTTTTATTGTCAGCCGAGTTTTTAAAAGACAATTTTAATCACGGCTTTATTACTGAAGCAAACACACACGATTTTGCAATATTTTCTGGAACAAATTTTACAAATGTAGTTACAACAAAGTGGGTTGAATTAAAAGGTACAATTTACAAACCATCAGTTACATTAATAACAAGTTTTGAAAATGATGGCTGTCCAACATTTGGAGAAATAGTAGAAATATTTATTATAAATGACAAAGTTTGGTTTCTGTTAAACAAATATAGCACTGAACGATTTAATGAACATTATCATTCGTATGAGGTACAAATTACTTTAGGAGAAAAATTGATAGAATATTCAAAGTTGTTATGTACAACACCATGCCTTTTGACTAAAAAAGATAGTAAGTTTTTTGTAACAATAAGATGAATTACTTAAACAACGTTTTGAATAATGTACATTGTTTTAGGAGTGTATATACTTAATCCTAGTTTATAAGGTTTCATTATTATATATGAATTAGAATAAGTTTATTTTGTTTTTTGTTATAAAATTAATATTACGTTTTATAAAAATATTATGTAACAGTATTATTACCTAACAATAAAAGATATATATTTTACAATTTTTTATTTTTTCATTTAAAATAGTATTTTGTTGGTTCAACAATAATTATTTTACTTTCGGTAATATCTTAATTTCACACAAAAGTAAAGTTTGTTGTATTGGAATTTCAAAGTACTGACTCTTACATAAATTATGGGTGTTATACCAATAAATTTATTTACCGCAGTCAAAAAATTTCTTCCATATCAAAAACTAATGTGTAGTCAAAACACATTCACACATTGCACCAACAACACAGATTGTGTTTTTTACAATAATATATGTTTAGAAAAGCTATTTTATTACTATATAAAATACCTAAAAGGATTGTTGGAATATGGTTTCCTATAGTTTGACGTAACTACAATATATGTGGTGGCAGTACTATTTTATATTTGTTAATTAAAGGTATGATGGTGCTAATCCTCCAATGTAATGAACCAAGATACTGATTGGTGCCTAAACAAGAAAATATTGGTGTCACACGTTTACCCACAACTTGTTGCTCATGTACCTACAGTTGTGTTTTAAGTAACAACTTATTTTTTCCTGTGTAGGAGGGCAAAAATATACATCCTTGTTTTCATTTGGAAAAAGTGCTATTATTTTTCCGGCGATTACCTCAAAGTCATCATTAGTCAGTCTCCTAATTAAATACGATGGGTGTTATAAGATTATATGTTGCTTGCTTTCTACCCACTTACCAATGTTCGTTATTAAGAAAGAAACATACTATAATGTCTACTAAGTAGGACTGACTGATGCTATCTAAAACTTTTTTTACTTTATATATATTGACTATCGCCTGCCCTGTGCGTGTTTTTTGAAGAAGTTGCTGCAAATCGAAACTTTCAATAGTATCCAGTCTAGGTTTTTTTGGAAGGGGAACCAAAGAAGTGTTTGCTTCACTGAAAATTATTTCCTTTAAAAATACCTTTCTAATTTTTATACATATACCTCTCGGCTTCCCGTGAATTTATTGAGGGAGCAGGTAGTTCTTCAATGGGCTCCAAGGTATAGTTTTCAAGAGTAGATAAATCCGTGGATGATGTAGAAGTTCCTGGTAGTAATGTCACATTCCTAAAATACAAAACTCAAAATAAAAAACGTAATTGATATTAGAGACATACAAAAAAACTTACATAAATGTGTCGTTGGGCGGAAAAGTAAACGGTGTGCTGTGAATTACTGATGTGTGTGAATCACTGAAAATTACAAAATAAGTGATTGTTCTCTTTATTAATATATATTTATACCTATCATATTCCGCGGATGTTAATGAGGATGACGTTCTTGTGGATGAAAACACATGATCCCTAAAAAATAAAGCACAATGTCTTAAAATAAAATTGACTATACTGGAATCTAATGTCATTAATTCATTTCTATACTAGGTTAATGTATACGCTGTTATAATTCGTTATTATAACATATTTTGAAGTAGGCATATGTGTTTGATACACGTAAGTAAAGAGGTTAATAAATGACTTTATTTAAAAAATACCCAATTATGTCAATTTCCAATTTTTTAGAGTAGTACTTTAATTATTTTCACAAAATTTATAAGAAGATATCCAAAAACTTGTTTAAAAGAATTTTTAGGGAACTCAACCTTCCTAGTTTATTGAAAAATATTTTAATATCACTTGCACATAGGAAAAAAATCAAATTTACCTTTGTGTCAATGAATCTGACAAAATAGTGACATCACTCTGACAACCAGTAATAAGCCTGAGTTTTTCTTCTTTAATTTTTTTTTAAATATTCGCTCGATGACCTATTTTAGGAACTATAGTTGCCAAATCTGTGTCGGAAATATTAAATAACACTTCCCTGTCAATAGCGTTTTCTGTAAAATAAAAGCACTATTATAGCATTGTCACTTCATATAGTATGTATGTTGTAAATGTATACAGCGTGGGCAAATAGTGCGTGGAAAGGTTGTGAGGTTATTAAAATGCATACTATAAATTAATTACCATGGGAATGTACATGATTTTTATTACAATAAGTACAACCTATAACATTGTTTTTATGTCAAAGTTAAATATTTGAAATAAATGCTTCTCTATTGCATATTAAAATTCCGGTTAATTTAAATGTGATTTTAGATATCATTGAACTTGAATTTTTAAATAAAATTTATGGTACGTAGGATTTGCATTTTGCAACAATATTAAATGAAAGGTTGCACTTCTCAGTTCTCGCCTTCTCGGAACGGAAATAGCTCAGTAAATTCTTTCTTATCTTATATATATATAATGCAAATTCAGTTTTACACTTTTTCTGGTAGCCTCCAGTAAATACTAAATAGTAACTGTTGTGCTAGTGTTATTGCATTTGCATCGTGCACTTGTGTATGGTTGACTAGTGGTATACAGATATCTGTTGATTTAAAAAAAATGAGTGAAAAGAGGACACTGCTTAATTATTTTTTGAAACCATCAAAAAAGTTCAAACCAAATGAGGGCTTTGGTGACGAGATTGTTGGCGAAAATGAAATAGAAAGTGTAAGTTGTGCCAATGTAACTGCAGAACATGAGGAACCTTCAGAATACGATCATATTAAGGAGAGCCAGGGTAATCAAAGCTAAAATCTCGTAAGTTATAGTACTATTTACATAGATATTTGTTATTTTTTAGATAATGTTGACGATGCCATGCCTACAGCTAATTCAAATTTAAGTAATATTAGTATTACTACTATTACAAGTTATAATAGATATCCCTCCGACATTTCGCAATCCAAGTCGGAAACTCCAAGACAACCAATTTTATCTGAATATCCTTTTTCAAAGTTTGGTTCCGATAACAGAAATTTTAAGCCTTATTGGTATAAACAGTTATAATCACCGATTAAATTTAGTGATAGTAGATGTAAGTAAATCAATAACATCAGCAAAACTGTTTTAAAATTCGTCGGTGCATTTTTTTGTTCGCCCAAGCAATATATCTGCTTGCCTATCTTCGCCCACCCAGTAAATAAAACCTAGCGTCGTCGCTGACACTATACAACACCGCAACACACAAGCAACTTAAAATCATTTTAGATCGCACTTACCTTCAAATTTTTCTATATATTCTGAATAGCCCCACTGCGTTAGTAAGTCACTACAATAACACTCACTCATTTTAACTTACGGTATACTGTTTAGAATATTAATTAATTCTGGCGACCAAATGAATAAATGATGACTGAATAAAGCGAGAAGCTCAAGTCAAGACGCGTTAATGTCTTATAAAAGTGTAATAAGCAAAATGCAACGTTCGTAAAACCTCAAATAAATGTTATCTGCTTCATTAGGAATTAAATTACTAGTGTAGGATAAAGCGTACCTTGTTATTTAATTCGTGAACGTTTTTAGGTATTAAGACGATGTGTTAACTATTAAGTTTTGAAGTGTAGTCACTATCGCCACTGAGATTTTCTATACTCATCAAGTGCTACACCACGTATAGTATATGTTGAGTATTAATACAAGATACCTCAATATCAATATTCCACCGTTTACTATTTATATACACATGTTTAACTAAAAAGACATGATTGAGTCATACAATATTTGATAATAATAATGCTTTCGTACATTATTTGTAAGAACACATGCAATAACTTACCCATAGTTAACAATTAAATTAATAGAATTTGGTGATCTCTATTTAACAACTAAAGAGATTAACTCTTAGAATTCAAAAACTTACCTGTATAATTTAGAGTTACATGTAAACAAATGTATCGATATAACATATTTATTAATAAAAAATAACTTTTTTCGTTCTGTGCAATAGCGTTATACCTACCCTTTCATTTGGCGGTGCATGTTAGCGAATGTACCATACTTCCCAGTTGATATTACGATTATAACAGATGAATTTCAGAATAACACATTCATATAATGTTAGATCAGGTGTTAGGTAGATATATACATTTTTTGCCAAAGAATCAATTTGAACACATTTAACTAAAACTTCCATTCAAAAAAATGTATGTAAATTACATTATGTAGAATTTTAGTTATACTGCCTGCAACGTCTGCAACGTAAAAAGGAATCGTAAAATAAAAGCACTAAAAAAACCTAAAAAGGAAAATTTAATTTTATAATAAATATTATACTTTTTACAAAAACAAAATATAATTACTAATAATACATTTAAATTATTAAACATTCCTACTGCATACTACTTACGCAGGAGTTAGTTAGATAATCGTTAAGGTCATGGTCTCCAATTGTCCAGAATATAAGCAGATCTAGGTCATCAAACGTGTTTTGTGAGTCTAGGTACCTCAAAACGATAAGACTGAAACTGAAAGAAAGAATATGAAAAACTTATAATAAATAATAGAAGTTCTGGTGAGCAATTTATTGAAGGCGCGCAGTGTTTTGCAAACAAACGTATACCTACCATTGATATGATCCGAAATATTTTACACATTGACAGATGTTTACAGGGTTTATCCTTAGGTATTAAAGGCGCAAGAACGCTTGACATAAGGTCACAAGGCATATTTGATTTATTGTAAAATGAACCTTTTTATTTTGTCGATTTCTACGGTTTTAAAAAACGGAAAATTATGAGTAATAGCATGAACAGATTCAGTATTTTTCTCTCTAAAAAAAACTTATTTAGACTTTTGCTCTAAAATAATTAGGGAAGCTAGTAATTGACTATAAAGAAATTACCATTGAAATCCCTATGCGTCGCGCTAGGCACCACCCGGTATACATTCATACCTCCCAAAGCTACGTAACATTTAATTTTTTATAAGTACTTACCGTTGTTATCGGATGATGCGCAGGAGTAGACATATACAGAAACCAATCACTCACTGTATGACTAATGACCATCCCTTATCAAGGAGAAATATGAAATATATTTGAAATATGTAACTATTATTGGTCAATTTCCCCGTTATAGTAAAGAAGCACCAGCACAAGAACTCCAAAGAGACGTTTGATCATTGAAACCGTTGTTGAGATTTGATTACTGCGACACTGTGCGTGTTCTGATCAGCAAGAAAAAACAATGCGTACTTAGCTATCCTTTACCCTGCACAAGTTGATTTTACCAGACTTTATTGGACAAATTGGGTTAAATTAACAATTTGCTCGAGGTAGATCTACTCGACTTAAGTAAATTGATTGTCTGGTACATTTAACAATGGTAAATTGTTAACTTCACCACCATTTAAGTTGTATCAACCAAATATCGTTCTACAATATTACCAATGTTGTTTCAAATAATTGATTAGCTAACATGACGTAAGTTTCGTGCAATTTTTACAATACTTTAGAAAAAAGAACCAGATGTAATTTAACCAGCATCTTGTAAATTACTTTTTTTCTCAGTGTATAATTATAAATTTTAGCACAATTCAAATATATGGTGAGAATCCACCCACCGAAGAAAATAGTGAACCCATTGAGGAAGAAAACGATGTTCAGGGGAAACGTATTACTGTAGATATACCGGGCTACAACCTAATTTTACTGTGGATGCCAAATGTCGAAATCCTGAGTCACATGTATTTAATTTGAAATGTGTGGATAGGTCTGAAGTATTATCCGCAGTGCAATCAATCAAGAGCTCAGCCAAGGGATGTGATAATTTGTCCATTACTGAGCTGAAGTTGTGTTTGCCCTTTTGTTTAGATGCGCTGACTGACATAATTAATTATTCATTATACAGCAGTATTGTCCCAGCACTATGGAAAACCGCAATAATCACACCTATCCCGAAAATCAAAAATGCTCAAAATGTGGAACAGTATCGGCCCATAAGCATCCTTCCAGCAATGTCCAAAATACTGGAAAGAATCGTACACCAACAAATCGATATTTATTTAGAAAGAAACCATCTCTACTACCTAAAACAGTCAGGTTTTCGTAAGCACCACATCACTGTTACTGCTCTATTGTGTTTACTACATTCAATAAAAGGAGAGTATGATAACGGCAATGTTACTGTAATGTGTGGATTAGACTTTTCGAAGGCTTTTGACACTGTCAGTCATTCTAGACTAATCCATAAGCTGGAGACATTAGGTCTTTCTAAACACTCTATAAACTGGTTCAAAAATTATCTATCCGATAGATCGCAAAGGACTAAAATCTCTACGGCAAAAGGGATTTCCGTATCTACTTCATTACCTGTTGAAGGAGGTGTTCCACAAGGAAGCATCCTTGGACCATTACTGTTTAACGTGTATGTCTCGGACCTCAACTATTTCCTAAAATATGTTGATATACATCAATACGCAGACGACATCCAGTTGCTAATGACGATCAACAGTAGCAACTCAAATACGCATATGAGTAATCTAAATGAAGATCTACACACAATTTCTAAGTGGGCAGCCGTGAACAACTTACATCTCAACTCCAACAAAACTGTTGTTATGGCCGTTGGCACCACGACAAATTTACATAAATTTCACATGTCAACATCTCAAAAAGTAGAAGTCGACGGAAACTGTATAGAGTTTGCCACATCCGCCAAAATCTTGGGACTGCATATTGATCAAAATCTGAACTGGGAAGTGCACGCCAACTATGTATGCACCAAATCGTATTACAAGTTAAAAACGCTATACAGATCTAAAAATCTTTTAAGCCAAAATATTAAACTCAATCTAGTTAAACAATTAGTTTTACCACTAATCACCTATGGAGATGTATGTTACCATGGTCTTAACGGGAAGCTATCTTACAAATTACAAAAGGTCCAAAACTATTGCTTACGTTATGCA